ATATAGTCATGCACAGCATTAGGGGACATTTTAGCATTATCTCCAGTACCATGCAAAAATACCATGGTGATGCTATAAGATTATGATGAAACTAATCATTCCTATCCCCTAGTGACATCGTATTTTAATGTCACAGCACAACAAATTACTCATATGTGTATTGTGATGCTGGTGTAAACACCTGCACTGCCAGTTGTATGAAAGTCTAGTACATACAGTTTTGTAGAGGACATAATACTTGATAATAAATGGCTGTGTTACTGGTTCATTTACTATACTATACTTTTTATCATTATTTTACAATGTACTCCTACCGATACAAAAAAACTTCACTGTACAACAGTCTTAGGCAGGCCCATCAAAAGGGATTCCAGAAGAAGGCATTGTTATCCTAGGATAGGAGAGCTCCATGTGTGTTACTGCCCCTGAAGACCTTCCAGTGGGACAAGATGCGGTGGAAGACAGTGATATTGATGGTCCTGGCTCTGTGTAGGCCTAGACTAATGTGTGTGTTTGTGTCTTAGATTTTAACAAAAAGTTTTAAAAACTAAAAATTTTTAAAATGGAAAAAGCTGATAGAATAAGAATATAGTTTTTTGTTTTGTTTTGTTTTTGTTGTTGTTGGTTTTTTTTTTTTTGAGACGGAGTTTTTTTTGCTCTTGCTACCCAGGCTGGAGTGCAATGGCGCGATCTCGGCTCACCGCAACTTCCGCCTCCTGGGTTCAGGCAATTCTCCTGCCTCAGCCTCCTGAGTAGCTGGGACTACAGGCACGCGCCACCATGCCCAGCTAATGTTTAGTATTTTTAGTAGAGACGGGGTTTCACCATGTTGACCAGGATGGTCTCGATCTCTTGACTTCGTGATCCACCCACCTCAGCCTCCCAAAGTGCTGGGATTACAGGCTTGAGCCACCGCGCCCGGCTTAGAATAAGAATATAAAGAAAGAAAAGATTTTTGTATAGCTGTATAATATGTTTGTATTTTAAACTTTGTTATTATAAGAATCAAAAAGTTTTAAAAATGGAAGAAAAGTGTTTTGTTTACTTTGTTGTTCATGACACTTTCCAGTCAGTATAGGTGACTAAAAAACAAGTATTTATGCAATGAAGTTTTGCTCAACTTACCATTTTCTTCAGATCCAGAAAAAAGTCAAATGAACCGTTGTTCTTTGCTACATGGAAGAAAAATCCCACTCTAGAATTCTGCATATCTCTGTGGATAGGAGACATATTATTAGTGTTATTTATGGCCTAATAGCCACCAAAACATGAGACTTAGATGCTTCTCCTTGATTGCCTCCTACAAGGAAGCCACAAATACCAGTCTGTGGCATGTAGAAAAACTTAACTGGAGGCACACATGTCACAGGAAGAAGGTTACATCAACATTCCACATCTATCAGTGTAGAAATTATACGTCCAACATTTTTGTTCTCCCAAGTCCTTTTGACCACTCAGGGGGATCCTACAGGCCTTTTACCAAGCCTTCTGTTTTCTAAATGTATTCTTTCCCTTTATCTTTTACTTTTCCTTATTTCTTTGTCTATTCCCACCCCCACCTCAAAAGAAAATAAAGTCAAAGCCAGACCAACAAACAGGCTTTTCTTATTTCATGGAAAATAACTGCTTTTTGTTGTTGTTGTTGTTGTTGTTGCTATTTGAGATAAAATTTCCAAGTCTTATTTCTTGCTCTTTATAATTTATCAAAATATTTTCTTGAAAAAGAAAAGTTATCCTTTGAAAAGACTACTGGTATTAGCTACTTAGAAAATATATAAAAACGTCACCTACCATATTTGCATTTGGTTTTATATAAGTTAAGTGCTCTAGCCAGATGAACTATCTGAAACTGAAATCCTTTTATGAATGTATATGAAAAGGTACATTTTTCAGGCAGCATCATTTTAATAAGTATAAGGCAGATGAATCTGCAAATTTTAGTCTGTTTTTTCAAAAACTTTCCTGGATGTCACTGTTCATTTTGTTCTTATTCCTATCACTACTTCACTAGTGTTGTAAATTGGAATATTTTATTTTATTTTATTTTATTTATTTTTAAAGACAGGGTTTCACCATGTTGGTCAGGCTGGTCTTGAACTCCCGACCTCAGGTGATCTGTCCGCCTTGGCCTCCAAAGTGCTTGGATTACAGGCATGGCCACCACACTCGGCCAGAAGCAGCTCATCCCAGATGGCTGTGGGGTTAAATACATCCCTAATCATGGCCCTCTGGACAAGTGGTGGGCCCTGCACTCATGAGGGCTTCCACTATGCTGACCCTCGTAATATGAACCAATAAATTTACTCCTGGTCCAAAAAAAAAAGCCGGGATATTTTATTTTCTAGAAAAATTACCTGAATATTTTTTCCACTGATACTAACTTAATATGTAAAGTTGTGTTTACACAACTTGACAAAAATATATTGACAAAAATATATTGAACAACTACTCTGTGCTATTTCTTAGGGAAATGGAATGAGTTAATAGTCTGCAAGTGCAATTTGAATAAATAGTGATTGAATTGAGTGTAGCAAAGTGGTTCTCCTGAAGGCTCTTTAGATCTTTCTAACATGCTCATTGAATGCATTTAACTAGCTGATCTAGCCTCAAAGTTGGCTTTAGCCAATCTGTTCAGGATCAATACATGGTGATCTTGTTTGGTAACTGGGTTCTTCACTTTGTGAGACCAAATGTTTAAGTTAAAAGTTAAGTTTATGTTTAACTCAAATTTAAATGTTTTTAAATCATATTTCTCAGTTTTTTAGCATGTCACCAGACTGGAATCCAGAGAGATAGCCCTTTTTACTGATGTCAAACTTAAATTTTTTTTTTTTTGCCAAAATTTTTTTTTACTATAAGAAATATAAATCTCTAACTTCATATCACAAATCTACTCTTAGGCTTAAATGAAAAATACCTTTAGAAATATGGCTAAAAACCACACAAAAACCTTGTTCTGGGGTAGTTTTCTTTTTTTTTGTTTTCAATAGTTTATCCACCCAAACAAATGATTTCACAGCTATATAAAATTACATAGAGCATAGTCTCACCTGATTAAAAAATTTATCAAATCATCTTTTTTTTAAGCCATGCTTTCCAGTGACATAGACAACACTATGAAATCAGCCAACCTGCAGCCCTCATTTGGCTCACTATATACATATGCTCCTCAACTTACAAAGGAGTTATATCCCGATAAACTCAACTTCAGTTGAAATAGTGTAAGTTGAAGATGCATTGACTACATCTAACTTGTTGAACATAGTAGGTTAGCCTAGCATAGATAATATGTGTTTAGAACACTTATATCAGCCTCAAAGTCATCTAACACAAAGCATATTTTATTACTAAGTACTGAATATCTCATGTAACTTATTGTGCACTGTACTGAGTGCATATCACCTTTTAACATCATTGTAAACTTGAATAATCATTAGTCAAATGATTATTAACTTGAGGACCATATGTACTTAAAATATACTCTAGAAATTGTTAATAGGAAAAGATGCTATTTTTTCTGTTTTCACTTAATTAAATTAATTCAATTCAATTCACTCATTCATTCAACAAATATTTATTAAGCACCTACAATATGCCAGGCACTGTGCTGGGTGCTGGGGATACAACTGTGAACAAGATAGACACAGTCCCTGCCCTCAAGGAGCTTACAGTCTAGTAGTTATACAGACAAGTACACAGGCAATTACAACGCAGTATGGTAAGTGCCATGATGGGGGAAAACATTAAGAAGGGCGCCTAACTCAATCTCACAGGCAGGGGGTGGTGGATAGCCATGGAAATCTTTTCATGGCAAGTAAAATTCAATTTGAGTATTGAAGGACGAGTACAAGTTAGTTAGGTAAAGAGGAGACAGGAAGGAGTTACATACTGAGTAAATAGTCTATGCAGTGCTCCATGTGCTGCTTTGGAGGTTCATTTCCTGACGAGAGTAGCTGGATAGAAGTGAGAGAAGTCCTGAAAGAAACAAGCAAGGTAGGGCCAGGTCATGAAGGGGCTCATTTGCTCCTCTCAAGAGCTTGGAATTTTTCCTGAGGGACCTGTGTGTCTGTGTGTGTGTGTGTGTGTGTGTGTGTGTGTGTGTGTGTGATTTACACTGTTTAAGATTGTGTTAGTGTGTGTGTGTGTGTGCGCATGTGCGTGCGTGATTTACACAGTTTAAGACTGCACTTACTGCAGCACAGAGATTGAATGGGGAATGGGATCTTGAGAGTTGATGGAAGGAAATTAAGCCTTCTCCTTTTCCAACTTTATCTTCTATGATATCACACCTTGTGTTCTCACTAGCCCATCTAGTGGCGTTCATTGATGTGCACGGCTTTGGGCCACTACTCACCCATATGGCTCCTAACACCTTCTCTTTCTATTAAAACTCAACTCATCCTTCAAGGCCAGACTTCTGAAATCACCCTAACTTGTGCTTTCTGTCAATACTCTAAGTGCATGATATTTATCTGCATTAGAGTACTTATTTATCATTTCAAATGAACCAAACCTTCTTTTGAACCGTGTTAGTTTAATTCATACATAAAGTGATTTTTATAAATAAACATATGAGTATAATTTTCTTTACAATTTCCAGTTGAAAACAAAGACTAATTCTTCATTTTCTCTCTATGCCAAACTATTATTAGTGCCTTCAAATGATTTAAATGGAACAATAGGAATAAGGGAAGAAGCTCAAGAGACATATAATTTTATGCAGCAAAACACAGTCAAGTAAAATTTCAACATACAATTACAAGGTATGTTGTTGTTAGGACAATGATTCATTCCCCAACTCAAAGACTCCATCTTTGACAATTTAATCTGTTAATGAGTCAAAGATCTGAAGAGGGTAGCTTAGTATGCAAAAAATAATGAGGGCTAGCTACATTTTCCACTATGGCCCACCACTTTTATGATCTCTCATATTGTCTTATAATTTCTCAAATAACTTTTATAATGATAAGAAAAAAACTTTTAAGCTCTGTAGATAGTGTTAAGAACATCTGTTGATTTATTCTTTTTGGTGGGTAAAAAACCACAATTTTGTACACAGAACAAGATTATAAATAATACTGTTAACATGAGTGACCCATAGTCTCTTTTGAGTCTACACTACAGACTGATGATTGAGCCTAAACATTTTCTTCCTTTAGCTTTTCTTCCTGGTTGTGAGACAAATGCAATCCGTGAACCGACTCATGTGACAGAGTGAAGGTTACAGCAAACAAGAAGATGATCAACAACTTTTATTTTTAAAAAGTCTCTAACGTTTATTACAGTGATGGCATTTATATCAATTATTGCAATGTATTGTTCCCTAAGATGGTTAGAAAAAAGAATTGCGTCGTCCTCTAGTGAATTTACGTCAGTTAAAAAGCAAGCATCTTTCAGTATTTTTCTCCAAAGTAAGTGTAAATACTTCCTTTATTTTCTCTTCCACAGGTTTTACATGTTTGTTTATTATTTTCTTATCACAGTTTAGAGATTTGTTTTCTCAGCTGGATTTTCTTCCAGGGACTATATGGGTGTTCTGGAGACACAGGTTAGCATGTTCACGGACTTCTACAACTATTTTATCCTTTCTGGTGAAGACAAAGGCCTTTCTGAGCAAGAACTTCACAGTTTAATGCGCTAACTTGCAAGTCTGATTAGTTTTTGAGTCCACTCAAATGAAATTTGTTGCTGTTAATACACCCGTCCCAGCTCCCCCCACCCCACCAACTCCCCGAAAAAAACCTAAATTGTGAGTTTTCCTGATATAAAATCTGAGTTTGGGTTTCCGAGCTGAGCTCATGCACACGTTGCTGCTGCTGATGTCGGGCCAGAGCGTTAGGACAGACTTCCGGCTCTCAGCCAAAGAATTGGTTTAGCAAAGACCCGCACGTGGCGTGTCCCTCAGGGCTGCATTTCCATCAGTCACCAACACAGTTAAATTAAGGCACTCAATTATTTTTTTGGTTTTTATGGTAGGTCCGATGCAATGACAGCCAATCCTGAACTTTGTCTGATTGCAGTTCCAGTGTGTACAGCCTTTGGGCAGTCAGGCGTCAAGACGCGGCCATTCTCTCCTACACTCCCAGTGATGGATAATCTGGCTTTGTTTCTTATGGCTTCAGAAAAGGTCAGCTAGGTTGCATGGAAAGAAAGCAGAAAGAATGCGGAGTGTTATCATATTTCTGTTTCTTCTACAAAATGTTACACAACACACACTGAAATATCAATAATTAGACATCTGCATTTTTTTTTTCATATTCTTTTGGTTATATGAAAACTGTTTATCCGGGGAAAGAAAAGCTTAACTACATCGAAGAATGAATCCATCTAGACTTTGTTGTTCTACCTGTGAAAAAACTAATTCTAAAATCATAATATTTAACTACTGTTCAGCAAATCTGGGCAGGAAACATCTTTCAACTTGCTGCACTGTATATCTTAGTACTTCTGGATGAGCTTAAAAGCTTATTTATGTTTGACAACATTTAAAAAATACTACTTCCTTGTTATGAAATGTCTTTACAATGCAAGGATTAGACTCTCAGAACTGATAAAGTACCTAAACAAACTATATGTATAGACTATTCCTGACAGATCTTCCTGTTTTATAACACAGACCTATCCACAAACACTTTCATTCATTCACACCAGTTATAGACATGACCCAGAACAGCACAATTAGTGACGTACAGTTCACTCTATGCCTATTGTGGCCACTAAGCCTCATATTTTAAGAACTGTAATTAAAAGGGGTGCACTGAAAAGGGATACGTTTCAAAGCCTATTGAATGATCATCACTGGGAAACCTCCCATATTGAGGTTATAGAGTCAGGGATCTGAAATCATCAGTAAATTCCTGTTCCTTATCCCATTCGATAGCAGATAACATTATACAAAGGAGAAACAGGCAGTGTTATTATGTTAGTCTCACAACTGTTCATTCACTGTCTAAATTCTTTCCAGTAGCTAGAATTCTAACTTAAGAGGAAAATAGGGTAAAGGAGCTATTCCCTAAGTCTGTTATGACTTAAGTCATAACTCACAACTCATCATGTATCTAATTCCCTGTTGTGAATTCAAGTGTATCCAGATCTTTAGGAAATTCCATCCCTGTGTTTATTCTGCCCTGGAGCTTAAATATTAGAATAATTATATATGAAGTCATGAAATTAGTAACTAGTTTAAAAACTGGTGGAGTAAAAATGTTTACAGATCAGTTACTCTGAAAACTTAAGAAAGTTGAAGTCAAATTGCTAGTAATGACATATAGATGACAAAATCATGGTCAATCTCATAGTTCTGTTTCAGTAAATAGTGTTAAAAATTAATACTTATCATAATCAGAACTGAGGATATGGTCTTTCCAGAAATTTGAATAGCTTTTATATTTAGAAATCATGGAAATATAACAAAGATTTTAGAGAAAAACAACACTTCTACCTGATTATTTTCTATTAGTTCCTTGAAATAAAAGTTATTCCGACCTTTATTTGGCACAAAATAGGCATTCAGTAAATATTTGTGGAGTGGATGAATGACCATATATGGGAAGATTCTTTTCCTTGTAAATGAAACTGATAGGATAATATCCTAAAATTATTCATAATTTATGAAACTGCAGAATTGTACACTGAAAAGGATAAATTTTACTGTATGTAAATTGTACCTTAAAATATGTAAGTGAATATATTGCCCACTATTTTAAATTGAACAGAATTGAATTTCACTGCACCAGTGAGAAAGTTAGAAATGGATCAATTCAATTCAAGCATCTGAAAGGATCCCTTAATCAAGAACCTCACTCATATAGAAGAATCTCACTAGGGAACTAAAAAGTGTACATGGCTGCAATACTCTTGTTTCTTGAAGTGAGACTCTTGGGAAGGTTGTGTTATTAAAGATGAATATTTTTCTACTCAATATTAGGGTATGTGTATAAAAAGAAGCATTAGCAAAACAGTACTATATATATCAAGAAAATATAGCAACAAAATATTTTTAAGAAACATAAGCCAAGACTTGGTATCAAGATGCTAAATAACTTTCTAGTGTAATTGTTTCAGTTTTATGTGTTTTAGATGGAGATTTGTGGGGTCAGAACCCTTTAGTGAGTACCTAACTATAAGGAGCATTCTAGTTACAGCGTTGGCATTTTCCACAATCTTCTAAAGAAAACAATTTGAGAGCAGATTTAGGAAGCTTATATTAGTTAAGTAAAGCCACATGCTTAGGAAAAAAAGAAAAATGAATATCCATGAGTCTAATCCAAACCATTTTATTAGCCAATCTTAAATCTTTCAAGTTCCCAAACCACTCAGAGTTCCCAAACCACCCATCTCTTGTTTAACAAGAGATTTAGGAAGGATAGTTCCAGAGAACTCATAGATATCTACTCATCACTAAATTTAAACAAAACCAAGATCAAAGTCTGAATATGTTTCTTTACATTTCCTTTCAACATTTAATGTTAAGTAAAATAGACAATTATTTTTAAAAATCCACTAGCTTTGTTTTAATTTTTCTTCTAGAAGAAATACTAAAATACCATTAATAAAAGCATGATAATTTTTAAAAAGTGTTTTCAGAAGGCTTTTGCCATAAAATCTGTTTTTGTTTTCTTTCTTTTCTTGATCATATTTATGAAGAAAAGAAAACTTTCAAAGGTTGAACAATTCCGTATAATCTCAATATGCTCTCCTCTTTTACAGATTAATGCAAGGAAGTATATTAATTAATAAAACTTTGACTTATTTTTCTTTACATCTGTTTTTGCATTTTTATTTCCTATACTTATATCATCTGCATCTTCCATAAAATGCCATTTCTATTCATCTTGATGTGAACCTTTTGAGACTCCTCAAACTGGAAAAATTTCTAGCAATTTTACATATGGTCTAGGTTTGGTTGGATTGTTGTGGCTAATGGTTGTTACCTTAATCATATATGTTTCCTTGAGAAATGATCACTTTTTAGCAGACTCTACCATGGACTGAAGATGTCAGGTTTTGTTTTTTGGGATTCTGAGACAATATTATTTCTGAATTACCAATCATTTGCATAATTATGGTCATAGAGTTTATGAAAGTTTTCCTTTGAGAGTACAGTAAAAACTGTTTACTTACAAGTTTTGACAGGCACAGATTATTTCATTTATCCTAAATACAACTGTCTTTTAAAATGTCAGATGAATGCTTTCATTTTAATTGAAATTTATTGTCTTTAATGTTCAAATCTACCTCTAAAGGCAATTCATGTGATGAACTTCAATGCCAAGTTGAGACTCCAAATACAATCTTACATTTAAATTGTGTGTGCGTGTGTGTGTGTGTGTATATATATATATACTATATATATTAAATATATATAAATATATGAAGAGATGTAAATTCCCAAATTTTACGAGTATGTGCAACATTATATATAAAAACCTGAGAATTTATATCTTTTTAATAACTTTCCTTAACTTTGAAATGAACTAGCATACATGAGTATTTCTTTCTAAAAATTTGTAATATTCTTTTTTTCTTTGCTTTGCTTCCCCACCCTTGTCCTTGCTGATGATGGCTGCAGTGCCTTTGTTATGCCAAAGAAAAGTCAGTTTTAATGAACTGGTAACAAAATCTAGTAAGGACATCTTCTTATAAAATTCATCTCAGAATTCAGTCCAAATAATTTGCTCTGAAAACTAATCAATTATTGTTTTTCTCAATTTGAAAAAAGTCTCTCCTCAATTCTGTAAACATTAAGATGATCTAATGCCTAAGGCACCTTGATATTATCTCACTTTGTAGGTTTTGCTATTATAAGACATACTAAAAATGTTTGGACCTAGTGAATTAAGGATTTAGTTTTTAATTCATTTTCATAAAATTAGGAAAGTGCCATTTTGGAATTATCTATGTGCTTTAGTTCTCAGTCACTGATTTCTACATTACGGATGACAGTAATTAGATCTTGATTAAGAAGGATGGCATTGGCTCTTTGCTTTAAGATACAGTATTTCAAAACCTTTCATATAAATATATATCAAATCAAGCATATTTACCTGGTATAAACTCAGATGTACATCTTACTGAAAGTATATCGGGTTTTTGACTCTAGGGTACATCAAGTACCAAATATCTCTTGGAATTTCAAAGACTCATTTATCATTGTAATCAAACCAAGCAGCCTATTCAGTTAACTAGTACAGATAATTTTAGAAAATGGGTTTTAGAGTCCTGATTTTAGCAAAAGCAATAATAAATCCTTTCAGATCTTATTTTAAAACTACTTCCCATTATTAGAGGAAAGAAGAAGTAGACATTTAGATTTAAAAAAAAAACTCCATCTCCTATATTTTACTGAATGCTTATAATTTTTTTATTGTGCCATGATGAGAGGATGTGAGTAAGTGGGGCTGACCTGGCTTGCTTAAAAGCACTTGAAATGAAAAAAAATGTTAATAATAGCTCACTGCAATTCTTACCTTTTTCTGAATCTCTCCTATAGGACACAAATATTGCTGACATCTCTGATGGAGAAACTGCTGTTATGCCTAAAATGTCTATTTACCTTAGTGATACTTTCAGCATAAAAGTTGAGTTTCATCTAATAAATGTGTATGATAGTCAAAATTCTGATTATCACTCTTCCTTAAAGGTCTGGCTCAAGGACTACCATCAGATGAATAAAAAGTGGGATTTCATGTTTTGAAAATGTAGAATGATGGCTAATATAAAACAAATTAGAAGAGGAGCCAAAATTCATTGAGTACATACTCTGTGCTTTGAAGTTTTTACATGTATTTGTCCTCAGAAAGCAAATGAAACTTTGTCAAAAATAGGCAACTGTCTGGGTTTTGATCACTTGGAACAGATTTTGTGCTTATTTTGTTAGTGCCTACCCTAAAATTGAACTGTAACAAAAGTCTATGTGCAAGGAAGCCCAGATCTAATTTCCAATTTTCCCCAAATTTCAGGTAAAATATACTGTTTAAATCATTTAACAGAGCAATTCTCGTTTGCTTTTGTCTTTCTGACCCTTGCAATGCAGATATCTATTGGCAACACAAAGTTTCAAACAGTACATCTGCAGCCAAAGAAAACCGAACCAATTTGCACTGAAGTTTTCAAAAATATAAAGCTCTATTAGAAGCAAGCAATACCACCACTGGACAGACAGGTCACAACACTGCGTTCACAGGATGCATTCCCCACTCACTGTAGTTGGCCCTAAGTCCTACCCCTAAATTTTAATACTTTCGGTTCCATATACGTTGTAACCTTCTCTATAGGTTGCTAAATTCTGGGTATTCTGCGAGGAAGTTGGGTTAAAAGTCTGTGCACTCTTTGCCACCTTCATTCTCTTCGCTTCTGCCCTGGACTTGTAACAGAACTCTATCAAAGCCACCAGCATTGCCAAGCCCAAGCCGCCAACCAGAATGTAGAAGACTCCTGCTACGTTGCTCAGGCTCAAGGCACTCGTCTTGTCCTAGGGGGGATAAAGACATTTCAGTTAACTGTGGAAATGTCAAATCCAAAAGATAAAAGAACACATGAAATCCAAAAAGCCAATGAAAGTAAATGCTTAATTTAACCTTAAATTATTTACAAGTATAAGTCACTGATACAGGATTATGGATTTAAACATAAGGCTTATAGCTCTCGGGAGAAGTAAAATTATAATAATTATCTATAATTTTTATCTAATTACATTCAATGAAATCAGTATCATTTTATCATTACTAAATATGGAATGAAAACCATTGTACAGCCATATATAAGCATTTATATATTTACATAGGGTTGCAGAAGTGGGCATATCATTGTTAAATTTGAAAATAACAGGTTTAAAATCCAATTATGTGAAAAAGGGGACTTCTTTTGGCTTTGATCCTATTGGAATATACTTTTAATGTCTGAGATTTCTCTTGAATAAATCCAACTCCACATTTCCTAGTTGACCAACTAAAGAGTCATTGAGCTGATAGTTTCACGTTTTGTTCATCATTAATTTACCAAATATTTGCAAATAATGTGTTAAGGTACACATTATTTGTTCTTTTAGTTATATCTACAAGGGAAATATCATGGAAAATGTTACTTTTGCATATTATGTACTATTTATAAATATATATGCATAACAAGTAATTTTATAACTTTAAAAATACATAAATTATTATGGTCAGTTGAGAAATAAGTTATCTATGTATGGACAAATTTATAATTTTTTATTGATTAAAAATACAATTCCATTCTCACTTAAAAATGCTTAATCCATTAATATTTTAGAGATACTGTTCTTTAGAGCTTCGGTATACATATAATCTCATAATAAATCCAGAATAATCTCTAAATCCTACTCTCATGATTGGAAGATATTAAAATTATAACAAGAATTTAAAATTGTTTAATATATTATAAATATGTTTATTACATAGTATTATTGCAAGTATTTTAGTAGACTACCTGAAGAACGCCCTGTAGCTATTATCTTCTCAGCAGTATGTTTTGTGCAAAATGTGATTCAGACCCTTAAAGAGTTTTATAGGAGAGTATTTAATTCAAAAGATGCACTATATATACTGTCATCTTAGTCATGGCATCAACTGATTGGACCAGACATTTTAGGGTAACTTCACTTTTAAAATAATTACTTATTAAGTATTTGCACTTGTCTGACTTTACATCAGGATTTGAGGTAATGGTTTTATTATCTGGCCAAGCTTGTCTCATTCCACTCTGGTTAAAAGGCAGACAGATGATTAAAATATAGTGATAAGGCCTGAAAGGGATTCATTAACATTAATTTGCCTCCTTTGTAAATTAATTGAGGCGCTCCTATTTAAACAAGTCACATGTTTAACATCTTAGAAAATCCAATAATTTGTTTTCTTTCTTAAAGAAGATACAGAAAAGAAATAAAAAAGGATTCCAAGAACTTTCAACTGTGGCTTTCAGGCACTGTTATTATATTGTATCAACTTGTGTAGGTATTTAGATTCATGGATAAACTTGTAATTTTTTTACAAAAATAAAACATTATTTATTTACACTACTTTTATTTGTGCTCAACAGTATTAGGCATAGAGGTTCCTGCATTTTAAATTTTTTTCCTGCAATGTTTTAAAAAGAATTTATGATTAAGAGATCTTAGAACTTGAGAATACTATTCATAAGCACTGATTAATTAAAACAATTTCAATTCGGGGAATCCAATTGAAAGGTTCACTCTGTTTATCAGCACAGAAATAGAAGGCTTCTTCAAACTAAAGTGGAATGCTTGGCACTATGGTGACAAAAGACGGAACTTCTGAATAAGCATTAATTAATATTTAGATTTTTATTTTTCTGGTATACCACTGATTTCCTGTTTTGAGAACACATCAGTTCTTGAAATAACAAGATTTCATGAAGTCTTTGCCTCCAATACAAACAAGAAAACTACACCAAAAAATATTATTTATTAGTGGTACGTAAATTTGAGAATAACACATAAGGAATTTTATTATTTTATAAATTTTTGCAGTTTTAAGTTTATTTAAAAGTCTTAATATTGGGGAGCAGTTTGCAGTTTCCTGAAAAGACCATACCTATGTTTGAAATTTATGACATTAGCTTTTAATTTAGGCAGTGGCTGAGTGTTAGAGACATGTTCAGTTTTTATGGTTTCCATATACTTTTGACAATTGCTCCCATTTACTGCTTTGTGAACACAAGAGGAGGCCCCGAACTGCAGCGACTGACCTTGCTTCCAGAGTCCTTGGGTCCACATTCACCTTTATCGTACCACCATTTGTTTTTCAGCTTGTCTAAGACGCCTGCCTCACTGAGTTTCAAAACGGCAAGGTTTACAGGAGTTCTTCACGTGGAAAATAACATAAATAACATTATATATGTTATTTTATGTTATTCAAGTAAAACTACATTAGAATCGCATGGCAAAGTGACAGAGCAGAGGCCACAGCAGGTGCTATGTCTTGTACTGTAGGCCCAGGTTTAGAATCAGACATAAAACTGGGGCCTGCTCCATCGCTTTAGGTAACAGGCACATACTGCTAGAGAGGATTTTTAAATAAAATGTATGCAATTACTGTGAATTCAAAACTATTGGCTTTGGTTGGGTTTCTGGAACATTTGAAATTTTTCCCACATAAATGTGGCAGTCATTCACAATCTAGAATGTTCTCTTTCAAAATTAAGGAAGTGGCTGCAGGTTGACAGACAGACTGAAATAGAAGCTAGATAGAACTGATTTCATTCCTTGCATGCATTATGATTCAGCTCATGGTATTTGATTTTACTCTACAAAAATATGTCTGCAGTAACCATCATTAAATTGATTTCTTGACCACTTTCATCCAATACCTAATTGAAAAAGGAGGGTGATTTCAGTGTTATAAAAGATCATCTTATGCAGTGGAATGTCATCATGAGACAAATATGTAAATCATTATTTTAAGGTATAAGCCCATGATGATATTTTTCTTCTTAATTGCAGTCTTTAACATAAATAATATCACCAGAAGCAATTTTCATCTATCTTGAATCTATCATCTATTTTTCATCTATCTTGAGTCTTAAGGTATATTAATGTACTTTAAGTACAAAATGAAGTGACTATAATATATTCCACAAATTCTTACCAACAAAGGTTAGAGGTAACCAAGATTTTTCTGAAGAAACAAACTCCTCTTATTTTAAGAGGAGTCTTTTTATATTTATAAGAGGCTCTATTTGTCTCCTCTACCATCTTTGATTCCTTCAACACTAAATATTGTATTAGGAGTTTCAGGGAGGAGGAGTTCAGTTATTACATGGTGTCAGTATTCCAAGGAATTTAATAATTCTTTCATTTTTCACTCCCATATTATAATATGAAGGCTAAGATGATGAAGGGGAAGCAGAAACTCCTAGGATCTTTTGTTATTACTGTTTTGGTGACTGATTGGTTTTTCATTTAGTTCTGAGACAGACATGTCATATTCCTCTGGACATTTTATCTGGCTGTATCCCTTAATGCACCTCAGTTCTTCTAGGAAATGCTGGGTGCATCTGGTGTTACATGACATGCATTTATTGAGCATTCATTCCATAAACCTATCTATACAACTAGGAAATGCATTAAGAATGACAGTGACCATTACAGCTAACATTTACTGAGCATTTACTATGTATCAGGCACTATTAAAAACTTTTTACATGTTCACTAATATCATTCACATTTTACAAATGAGGAAACCAAAGCACAGGCAGCTTAATTCATCAAGTCACACAGCAAGGCAGTAGCCTAATCAGGATTCCTGACAGTGTGACTTCATAGCTTTTGCAATGAAAAATATTAATAACAGAAAACTCACAAAATGATGTTTCTAATTAATTGGGCTTTCTGGTTAAACTAAAACTCTTTTTTGTACAGTTAGTTTTGAAAAAATATTCTAAAATGTGAATTTTATATGAAATTCTAATATATAATTTTTATTTTTGTTTATATGGTTTCTGGATATAACTTAAATTTTGTTTCAGTGTTATGAGATATTGCTGTGTCTTAGGTTCATTGTTTCATTGAAGAAGTAAAATGCATTTGCCATGACCCTAGACTATTATATATTTTTTGATTAAATAATATAATCTGACATTATATTGTTTTTTTGGATTAAAATTTGGCATGAGCAAACTTTCTATTAAAAGCTGAATTTGGGGGTGGGCTGAGTGAGGATTATGGTTAATTGGGGTGCTTGGTTATTTTAAACTCAGTTAATCTAGGTTTTTCTATCTATACCAACCACTACAGTCTGCTCCTGGTCCCCCACCTCCATTTGTGAAGTGATTGCTACAAATAACCACACCTGTGGGTTTATTGGTGCACTGCAAATCCTTTGAGAGCAGAAGCCACAGCTCATTTATCTCTGTAAACAGTATTTTCCAGAGTATCTGACTCAGTGTAGGTACTCTATACAGAGGCTCGATTTTAAAAATGACAGAGCAAGATTTTTTTAAATTCAGAGCAGCTTTTTCTTGAATCGATACTCTGTTTTTAGGTCCCCAGGCAAGTTCCTCAAAACCTTTGTAACACGTGTGTAGCTAAACTATACAAGCCTATATTTGCAGTTCTTGAATGGGGTGGCTGGAAAGAGGACGATTTAGTCCTGAAAACTGGAGGATACTTCGAGAGTTTCCTTCAAGTTTCTTTCTTTCTTTCTTTTCTTTTTTTTTTTTTTTTTTTTTTTGAGACAGAGTCTCATTCTGTCACTCAGGCTGGAGTGCAGTGTCACAATCTCAACTCACTGCAATCTCTGCATCCAGAGTTCAAGTGATTCTCCTGCCTCAGCCTCCCAAGTAGCTGGGATTACAGGTGCCTGCCATCACACTTGGCTAATTTTTTTTATCTTTAGTAGAGTTGGGGTTTCACCATCTTGGCCAGGCTGGTCTCGAACAAGTTTCTTCAAGAAGGGACAACTAAAGGCAAAATTGTGAATTAGATGAAGACTGCCTTAGGCTTCTTTCTCCCCTCTTAAGGTAGTCTTTTCTCCTATATCCTTCTCTTTTCTTCTGGACTCTTTATCCTTTCTGATATTTCACACCAGTAGCCTGGTTTTAGAGGGTAAGATTAGATTAACACATTGAATATAAGATATATAGTATTAACAATGATTAATGTTCAACTGGTGGAATATCAGAAAAAGGAATTCATTATTGGGAAAGTACTTCTCCAAGGGCTAGATTCCTTTAGTGTTTTTTGTTTACAACTTTTTTTACTTTCCATATTTTCCTGCTGATGAATGCATATTTTCTGTACTAATTCCTTCATTCTTGCATTGGTTGTCATGGCAATGATAGAGGAAACCCGGTTATTTAAGTATAGCATCTATTAACAAGTCATGGGCTGTATTGTTCAAAGTGCCCAATTAAACATCAGAAAATGTGTGACCCAATATAACACCTAGAGAAAATATTATTTGGTATAATTACACTTACAAAATAATTTTTATGTGAATATCCACATCTATAAATGTGCATATTTTACACATGTAGAAAGAGAATAAAGTATACACCTAACAGAAAAAATAATTTTGTAGCTGTAATAATGGGTGACTGATGGTTGCAACTGTTGCCAAAATTTCTAACTAGAATCGGGATTGAATAACTGGCATAAAAATTGGCATAGAAATTCTTTGTATGGTTTGTGCTTAGACTAAACCATACTAGGTTCATCAAAGTGGAGAATACATTTTAGACATTGCAATCAATATTTTTAAATTGGCTCATTCATTGCAAAGTAGTAATTTTTGTTATTTTATTCCCAAAAGTGAGTATGAATTTCTTAGGACCATAAAAATGTACCATATCACAATACAATTAACTCATATGAACACTATCAAAGGATCAAGTTTTCAAATGAAGGAATTTGTACCTTGTAAATAATGCGTTTCTGCTTTATTTTGTGTAAGATGCAGGACACTGTTCTTCATATCTTTTGTTAAATTTTTACTTTTCAAGGAGAAGCCTGTCGGCTGAGGACTGCTATGGTCAGAACTTCATAGTGCTGGGAATGGCTGTCAGGTGAGTGAGAATGCTAATTACTGCATGGCCTGGAGTGTGGCAGGGAAACTGCCTCAGAGACTCCAGATAATATGGTTGTTGGTTATATTAAATCATGAGCTTCTTGAGGGAAAGGACAGTGGTAATTCTCCTTTTCTACACAGGTACTGGCACATGGCCCTGTTCAAACAGAAGTTTAATAATTTGCTGCTGAATGGAGGGCTGGAGAGGTTATATTCTTGTGAATGACAAGTGCATCATCTCTCTCATAGAAACCTTTCCACGTGTGGTACAGGTTTCCATATTTCCCTCCTTTATTGGATGAGTCACTGTGAAGACAGTTTCGTTTTCTCCTACCAAGATTCTGTATTGAAGGTCAGCTAAGCCAATATTTCAGCATGTGTGTGCTGAGTTCTCTCTCTATTTCTCCCTCTGCACTGAATTGGCAGCATTGGTCTTTTCCACACTAGTTTTACAAAGGCTTTAGAACCAGTTGCATTTCTCATGGCAGGACTTTTTCTCCTTATTTTACCTTTTTTTGATGGGGCAAGTTAAGTTTACAAAGAAAATCAGTCACCCAAAGAAGGTACAAAATGAAAATGAAAAAGCAACAACTGCCTCCCATTAATTTACTTTGATTTAAGTTAGGTCAGGCCATTTAAAATATCATCTTTTATGACAAATTCAGAGTAGGGTATTAGTAATATTTAGAGTGCAACAATCTATTCTCTTGATGATAAAGTTTAGACCAATATACAATCTATGTGGATTTTTTTTTTTAGTATAAAAACACATTTCCTGAGGAAAAATAAAACATAATGTATTTCATTTTGGGAGAACATTTTACGTTATTTTTTTATAACATGTTGGGAACCTACTTGTTAAAATTTGAAATAACATTCATTCCAAAACATTTTGTAGTTCATGTTTGGTGGAAGTAATGTCACTGCATAACTATAAGAACAAACAATTTGTTTCTGGAAACTACAAGGTTAAATATACATTTATTCTTTTAGACAACAAATATTTACTGACTGTCCAGTCCAGTATGTACCAAACAATGAGTTGGATACAAGCTAATTAAATCTGAATTAGTTGTCCAGTCCATTTCAATAACTTAAAATGACTTTTGTTAGATAGATTTTTCTAACATACATATGTTTCTATTATGCTTGCTTGCTTTTCTCTGGAAAACATCTTTAATGTACACTAAAATGGGACTTCATTATTTATATTTGTAGAAAATTTTATTGGTAAAGCAGTGTTTTACTTCTCTTATGTTTGTGATAATAATTTGAAAACCATGATTTTTCTAATGGAATAGAATATCTTTGTTTTGATTTTCTCTGGTGTTATTTTATGATATTTTCTGGTATTTCTAATTTGCATAAAACAATGCTAGGTTATTAGTATAAAATTTATTAATTTGATCTATGTATATGTATTTCTATGTTTATGAAAACTATCAGAAAATTTGAGAAAGTTGGAGCTCCAAAATATAAAATAAGTTAGTACTCCTTAAGATGGTGCCTAGAATGGAAACAAAAGTTTGTCCTTCCTTCTGCTGCAATAGAACTAATTATAAGATGGGAAATGCTCAATTTGAAAGGCTTTTTTAGATCGGGTGAGAATTTTCTCATTCATGAATTTTTTTTTAAGTCTAAAAATACTGATATATAGGGAACAAGTGTTCTGGGACTCGAGTATATTCTGTTAATTGCCTACTTTTTTGTTCTTTAGATATTGCTTAGAAATTTAAAAAAGCTATTATTTTATGAAGCTGGAGATAAGACATGAAGTGAAGGCAAAACTGAGTTGATTTTGTTTTTGTTTCCTGATCATTTTGCATTTTGACCCATTTATGGGAGGCAAAAAATGTGTACTTCATATCAGAGTGTTTGATTTGTTATTTAACTTGAATAGAATCTGAGAATTTTAGATGGAGAAAACTTTTTAGTAGGTACCCTAGACGGGTCTAGGTGGAGTCAGGAGTCAGGTGATTGCTGATAATGAACAACATTTGGTAGAAGTTCTAGTGAAGAAAACAAGACAGGCTTACCCTCTCTGCTCTCTCCTCTCTTCTCTAAATTGCTGTTTCAGAAACTTCCATCCCTTCTTACTTTCCAAAATTGAGATTCATAGGACTATAATGTCTGATCCACAACCTCTTCAAAGGCAGAGATTTTCAGTGACTATTTTCATTAGGTTTGTTAGTGGGTCACTTAAAAGATAATGGTGCAAATATTTTTGCATTGACAGTAATTGCATACGTAAGTTTGTGAAGGAACTTGACTAGCAGTTCAGCTGGGTATTATTAGGTCAAAACCATAAGTCTCCCAGCAGATGCACCTATTACTTTACATACTGTTTACCCGCTTTTGGTGACATTGAGGCTAACCTTGGAGTCACCTCCCCCGCTGCCACATTCTCCTTTGTCGTACCACCATTTGTTTTTCAATTTGTCCAAGAGGCCTTGTTCATTCAGTTTTAAAACTGCGAGGTTAACAGCATTTCTTGAAACGATAAAACATATTTTGTAAGAAACTGCACAGCTGTTAAGATGTTAGAAGGAATGAGGACTTAAGCTCTTTATAAGCTTCCCCCAGACGCTAAATAAACCTCTCATTTTGCCATCCTGCAGCCCCTTTCACTGGAGTCCAAACCAAAGGCAATTGTAACTAATTTCAAATGTATTAAACATGCAGTATTTGGTACTGTTCGCTTTCACAGTTCGTTTATTGTCAAATAACTGATCTCATCATCAATCAATTACATGGATGTTTTTTGGCAAAACAGTAATAAACTGGAATTTACTAGTAATTGAGAAAGAATTGTGTCTTGAATTCCTTTGCTTCTAAGAATGCCAATGATCCAAAAGAGAATGACGTTAAAATTCATTTCCACAAGGAAAAACAAAATGGCATATACAAACCATCAAACCAGCCACTAATTTTTTTTGTACTGATTCCCTGACAACAGAGAGTATGGCATAATTATCACTCCTTTTATTTATTTATTTTTTTATGTGAGTTTAGTTTGTTTGATTTAGTTGGTTTCAGAATCTAGAGTTTCCTGATCATTTGCTTCATGAACTGGAAGCCACATGATAGTCAAGATATAGCAGCAGCTCTAGGGGAAAATTCTTATATCTAAATTTTGTGCTGATTCTTAAAGGCATTGAATGCTATTTAGAAATTAAGATTGCATATCCAATTTGACTGTTTAAGTCATTAAACCCCAGGAAGTCATGCTGCATGTGATACTGACTTTGCAAACAAACCCACTCCATTAGATTTCCTCCATAGTTTTCTCTAAAGGGAAATAGGGAGAGAGTATTTTGATTATTTTTTAAGAGGATTAAAAAAAAAGTGTTATGGGCTGGGTGAAGTGATTCATGCCTGTAATCCCAGAACTTTGGGAGGCCAAGGTTGAGTGGATCACCTGAGGTCAAGAGTTCAAGATCAGCCTGGCCAAGATGGCGAAACCCCATCTCTACTAAAAATGCAAAAATTAGCTGGGCGTGGTGGCAGATGCCTATAATCCCAGCTACCTGGAAGTCTGAGGCAGCAGAATCACTTGAACCTAGGAGACGGGAAGTGTAGTAAGCTGAGATCGCACCATTGCACTTCAGCCTGGGCGATGAGCAAAACTCCATCTCAAAAAAGAAAAAAAATGTGGGTGAGGGGAGGGGGTGGTCATGGGCTTTTGCCTCCCATGTGTTTGGTGTCTTTCCTGCTTTCAAATTAAAATTTTTAAATGACCCAATAAGGATTTCAAGAGATTTTTTTTTTCATCATTTAATGAAATTTCTGTTAAATTTGAGGAGAGGCTCACATGCTGAGGGAATTTGGGTAACATTTGTGATATACTATTTTATAAACACTGAGTTTGGTGATTACTTAGTCCCAAATGAATTATAGATAAAATAAAACAACCATATTATCAAATAGTACTTGAATAATTGATTTGCAAGTGAAATGACATTTAGCTGACTAATAAAGTGTTGCATATATTAACACTAATTAGCCTACTGAAGTGTTTATTGTCTTAAAATGTGTTCATAATATTTCAGGCCAACAATGTGTTCTTCCATTTTGTGATGGTCTGATCCACTTGGAGAGTAAACAGTTCTCATAAGTAAACCACACACTTAAGAGTTTTTAGTATTAACTCGTAAGAGTTAGACTGCCCATTTACTGAATGCTAATTAAATAATTAGCTATTCCTACATTTCCAAGTAAGTGTGACATTAGTGGTATAAAATAATGCATGTACTTCCTAATGTGGACAATATCAAGTTGTTAGTTTAATCACCAAAGCACTAGACTGAAATATAGGAATGAATAAATATTCAGTGAATATAGAGACATCTATTTTTTTAAAATTCCACTGGGAAAAAGGAATTGTTTTAGTTAATTTTGTGTCTACAGAGAACTAAATTTGTCTTTCAATAAATTAAGGTTAACTACTAAAATTCTCTATTTTGGAGAAAATTATTTTTGTAATTCATTTTAGTTTCGCTTTAAACATTAATATTAGATGTTTATAAATGAAGTAATATTCCAATTATTTTCTATGTTGGTTTAGACCATTTCCCTGATAAAACTAAAATTATTTCATGAGAGGGTTATTTAACAGGGTTATTAGCCATATCCAAAGACAGTTTCACAGCACAATAGAAAACAAAAGACAAAATAAAGGAATGGATAAGGAAAAAAAGCTTTATGTTGAGAAAATTGTTTGGAATCAAGCTTTCTACAAAATTAATCTAAAACATTGTCTTTCTAATACCATCTAATAGGCCATGTAAAAACAGTTTAGTTTCACACTGCTATCCATATTATGTGCATAATTTTATACACTGGTCTAGTTGATAAGTAACTACCCAGTTCACAATTAATCTACATGTTTTCCTTCCAGAAATATGTGGTCCTTCAATAAAGTCCACTTAATACAATCATATATGAAATTTATCTTTCTTTAATGATGCCTAGTAGAAGGCATTTTCTAATCAATATCTGGAGATATTCTTCAGTATTTCAGGATTTCTATGCATATTAAAAGTGTCTGTTATTTTCTACAACTGTCTAACTAAAGATGTAATTCCCTCATATAATAAGTTTAGGTCTAAAAGCCTCTTTAGATTGCTATTTAAACTGTAACATAAACCACGTATATAATGACCATTTGGACATCTGTTTTATAGAATGAATCACTTCTATGTATTATTAATTATAAGAATCATCAATGACGTATATATGTATATAATTACTTCACTCATTTTACTGGACTAAGTTGAAAAGTACTTTTTATTAAGCTAAAAAGAAAGTGAAATCCTGAAGGAGTAATGATAAACAAGGCTAAAGAAGCCATAAGAAGTCAGATAAAGATATAGAAAGCAGATACTCGCTGCAGCATATTTTATTATTGTTTTGAAATCCCCTTCAAACATTTCAGACATAGTCTTCAACATCAATGTCAGAAACTCATGTTGATTATAAGGGGTATTCTTGCCCTGATTAATTAAGTATCAGTGTTGCTGTGATAGTGACCTGCCAAGGAGATAAGGGTAGACAAAGAAAAATATTTTTAGCTCTTTATTAATTATTCCTTCTATTGCATAAATGTAGCTTTTGCGAAGTCAGTTGAAATGAACTGCTTTTTATTTAAAAATACAAGAAGAAGCAACAAGGGACCACATATTTTCTGGATTGGAGAACCAGATGTGTTGACAATGACCTTGCACAGATTGAAGTAGGTTCAAGGTAATGTGTTTTCCTTTGCCTTGTATATCTTAGTGAAAATCTAGATGAGAAAATCCCTTTCCCAAATAGCTTTTCTCATAGTAATGAGATGACAGGGAATTTGATTTAGGCCTGGAATGAAAATGCTCACTTGGTCAACTTCCAGCACCTCTGAAAAACTTTCAAAAGTTTTTATTTCTGGAATATTCTTCAAATGAATTACATTATGAAAATCCATACTTTACTGACCTAGCATTTGAGACTTACTTTTGTTAATGAGAATTTTGTTGAAATGCCATATAAAACCAAAGTTTTAGTAGAGGAACTAACATATGTAAATTTTTCCCATTAATTATTAATCATTTTGGGCACATTAATCTAGTGCAAAGTAAGATTTTCTTGTGAAAAGCATGCTTAATCCAGGCTAAGACATTTATTGCTTACTCTTTACCCCTCCATAAATAACTTATTATTAAATCATATAGATTTGGGTATGCTTTTATGCTTACTTTTATGCCTCTATATTTACTTCTAGACCATATTTCTTATAGTATAGTTTCTCTGTTGGTGATGTATTAAAGTGTATATCTGATAAAATGTCTACCTAAGTAAATGGGGAAAATTTTAAAAGTTTTAGTAAAGTTTGATTTTATTTTTATGATTTCCTGGATTAGTAAATATTGTTGTAAAGGACTGATCATACAACTTAGATTTAGTCACTGTCTGCCCACAAGATATTCAAGGGACACACGTAGTTTATAGAGCAAATAATTTGCAGTATTATCTTTGATTTGGTTTAAACACATTCAGTTCTATCTCGCTTAATAGGATGAACACTTTATTGTTGGCTATGATGGCAATAGTACGTGGAATTAATGCAGTTTGCTGTCTTAACTACTGTATAATGCTGTTAGTGCATTATTATCCTTATAAGAAAGTATCCATTAGTTATACTAGTTGAGTATCACTAATCCAAAAATCTGAAATCTGAAATGCTCCAATGTTCATTTTGTTTGAGCATCATGTTGGCTTTTAAAAGATTTTTTTTGGAAGCATTTTAGATTGCAGGTTTTCAGATTAAGGATGCTGAACTGGTAAATACAATGCAAATTTTTAAAAATCCAGAACAAAAATCTGAAATCCAAAACACTTCTAGTCCCAAGATAAGGAGTATGAGTATTGTATACACAGTCTTAGGCCTGTGATCTCTTCACTGGAGTGCTCTCTTCATACTATATTCTATAAAATTTAAACATCAATATTAAAATGTCCAGAAAATTTACCTGAATGGGCTGAGAGGTTTTTCATAGTCCTCAATAAATCTTAATATAGTTTAAAAACACTTAAAAATTGTGTGACAACAAGAATTTGTGTAAATAAATAAGAACTTTTTTAAAGTCAGCAAAAAATATGGATAACTTATGCAGCAAGAAATATAAATTATATAAAATAATTCAGCCTTATTTGAAGTTAAACTAAAATCATATAAAAATAATTCAGTCTTATTTGCAGTTAAACTAATGTGAATTAAAGCAATGCAAATTCATTTCTCACCATTCATAAGAGGAAAGATAAAAGTAAAAACATGGTTTTATAGTCAAGGATTTAATAAGATGAGCAGGCATTCTCATTCACTGATGATAAAATTCAAAACCAGAGATACGATGGGCAGGGCCAAGATGGCTGACTAGAAGCCATGGTGTTCGGAGACTCCCATCAAAAAAAAAGCAGAATAAGCTGTGAATCCTTCACAGGCAACCAAAGTATCC